GAGTCAGATTTGCATGTGTGTGTTTCACTTTCTGTCTGTAGTCTCTCAGTTCGTCTGTGAATCAAAGAGAGATTTTTTGGAGCCGTGTGTCACCGTGAAGCAGCCCTGTCACTTTACACCCCTCCTCACCCCCCTTCCCCCTATCATTTACAGAGCTGCCACATGAAATCATTATACTGTAACATGTACACACACACACACACACACACACATACACTAATGTACTGAATGAACACACACATTCATGAGAAACCACAGGGCGCTGCCCTAATTTAATCAGATGGGCACACAGGCATACAGAGCTGTGGGAATTCACCCCTTCACATGATCAAACATACAGTCATGTCTGACAGAAAGTCCACTCACACACACACACACACACACACACACAGACTGTCTTTTTTATTATTATGTCCACACAAGGACAATATGTCCCCAGAACTATAGTAATGTTCCAGAAAAGTGTCCCCACAAGCACAGCTGTACCAGGAAGACCCTCGTGTCAGACATATGTTAATAAAGCTCACATGAACCACCTCTCTGCTCCTCCTCCTCCTCCTCCTCCTCCCTCCTCCTCCCTCCTATCCTACGCCAAGCCACTAAATGAGACACAGGGGACAAAGCTGGGACTGGCTGCAGGCAAGATTAAAAAATATATAGTTGTATAATAAAAGAAAGAACAGGTTTAGATCTTCTGAAGACGAAGATAAATGAGTTTTATATCAACTAATCAGTTCATGTCTTTTAAACCAACTGCAACGAAAATAAACGCCAATAAAAAAAACATCAGATATGGTTTAACCAGTGACGACGACTCCTCATTAAAAATGAATGATGGATAGTTCATGATACATAAAGACATTTTTCCCCCGTTATTGTTCATATCTTCTTTAATTCACATGACATCTGACGGTGTGACATCACTGCCAGATGTGACCCATGTGTTTGTATCATCTGTGTTGTGTGCCTGTATGAGCGCATGTCAAAAGGTTCATGTCTCTACATCTCCTTCAGTTGTCTTAACTTCCCCCACAGTGGTGTTTACATCAGAGAAACAGAGCACTTTTAAAAACCTGATCAATAAAAGGAAGCACAGCTGAACACCTGACAAAGATAGGATTTGCCAAAGCTGCTGGAGACAGTTTTAGTTTTTAACCTCAGACACCTATTGGTATAACAGCTTGTGTCTGAGAACTTCTTGACTTACCCTTGGACTGTATATATGCGAGTGTGGGCAGGTAATAAACAGCAGTGGCGTCTGGACGAGGGACCAAGGACAAGCCTTGATTTAAACATCAGCTGTCATTAATGTTTCAGAGGTGTAGAACCGGACGAGCTGGCCGCCTGCTGGCAGCTTCTCAAGGGCAGGGTGGGGGCGTTTGGGGGTGAGGAAAATGATTTACTTTGTGGAGAAAACGTTGGTAGGGATGAGACCTGCAGTCGTGTTATCCTGAGAAGGCCTGACAAAACAGTAGCTGACAAACCTAATCCCGACCATTAACCAACAATTCAACAAAAGTCATGATTTCCATCTCTGCACTGGACACCACTTATCTGAACAGAAGAGAGTTGACAATTATTCTGAAACCACAATGCAATGTGCTATTTCTCAGCTCGATGGCGATGGGACCAGTGACCAGCAGAAAAAAGACATCTATGACTCTCACCTCTGGTTATGAACCATGTTCTGGTACAGTTTGGGGCTGCATTTCCAATGGCATTTTTGTTCACAACTGATGGCAAACAGGAAGGCCAAGAAGTATCAGGAGCCACTGAGACGCCATGCAGTGGCTTCTGGGATGTGCCTCCTCAGCAGTGGGTTCATCTTTCAGCACAACAATGATACAGAGCTCCAGTGATATCATCTAATCTGATTAGGAGCTGCAGCCAACATGTGACCACTGGCTTTGACCTGTTCTTTAAGGAGAATGTTCTGAAGGATGAGGAAACAATGTGCTTACTGAAAGGATGGAAAGATTCTAAATCATTTTTTCCTGTTATTTAGAGTAACAGTTCTGAATAGAATTAGTGCCGTTAAAGTGTTTACCACAATAATTCAGTTCTGAAATTAATCAGATTTGAATGCATTTAACCAAGGCCAGAATGACGCACACTCAATATCCAATACTTCCACCATTCATTTATCTAGAATATTTCTAATACACAGTCAATGCACATGTTTTTATTTTCACATACTGTAGGAAATGGTTTTCATTTCACCAAAGTGGTGAGAGCTTTAAATACCACCTTAACTCCCAGTGTGTGTGGCACAGGGCAGTAAGTCTGTGTCAAATGGACGGTGAAGGACTGCACTGATTAATGTTCTTGAGGACAACAGCTTCACCTCGCCTTCTGTGATGTTCTACCAAAAGACAAACCATCTTGATACAGAATAATGACTAAAATACCACAAAGGTATGAAAAAGTCTACCTGTCTATCCAGGGATAGATTCAAATAAATAATTTCAATTGTTTGACAGCCCTTATTAAAACCTTTCTGTAACAACTTTGGTGGCTAAGACTTTATACCACAGATGTCTGTGTGTCTGGGTGTTTAAAAAAGTCCAAATACTGACCGACTGCACATAAAAAAAGTCTGGGTCATGGTAAGAACAACCACATGAAATGCCTGGTTTTATGAGACCATGTTATAAACTGCTACAACAAACTTAGCTTTCTGTCCATGTTTCTTTTTTAAACACTGTTCACAAAACACACACGTGTATATAAATAAACCCCACAGTCTTTACAGCAGTGATGTCTCTGACACAAACCCTTTATATGAATACATTTTAGAAATGTAAACATTCATCTCCAGGAGACCTGGAGAAGGATTCATTTTGAGAAGCAATCATTGTTTATTGAGTTGTTTATGCCTCCACTGCAGAACTAATATACTATTCTGGTTAAATATGATTAAAGTCTCTCCCAAATACTGTGTCTGTGTCAAATCTCCTAGATCATTCTCATAACCAGGGTATGCAAAGTTCGACTGATACAAATGTAGCCTCTAGAATATTTGAATGGATGAAATGCTGGATGGAAATACTATAAAAAAGAAGAAGTGATAAGGTGGGGACGGTCAGGAGCAGGTACTAGCCAAGGTAAAATTTAGTGAGAAAACGCAAGAAAATGTTACCGTTTTCACACTTTTGCCACTTTTGAACTTGGTGATTCTTGATACAGAATGGCCAACAAAACGTGCCCAGTTAAAAAGTCACACCTGAACCCCTTCAGAGTTCTTCGTTGACCTGCAGACTCTTTCTCAAGGTCCCACTAAGACAGAAAGTGTGCATGTGTACGCTGTTAGTGTATTTGTTTTGTGGTGGACAGTGTAGGTTAGAAGCATTTGTTTTACAAAGGAAATGCAGCTCAGGGTCAAAGGAGAAGGCTTTTACCACCACTCCTGTGATGTATAATCAATAAAGAGCTCTGAGCTTCTCCTCAGCCTCTCCTTTCTTCTTTTTGGTTTCCGTCCTTCACAAGCCTTTCTTTGTTCTCCTTCCGTCACACTCCGTCTTTGAAATTTCAAAGCACACCCTACCAGCACACAGGTCTCCGTAGCACACAGGAGTCATCATCTCTGTTACCACCTCCAAGGTCATCATGAGACTATTTTACACAGGCACAAACGCGCTCTAGTCTGGGACATTTGGTGTATGGCTCCATCTAGTGGCTATGCAAGAGATTGCCTGCTCAAATAGAAATGCCAATTCTCTAAATACAACCAGCTAAATGCCAAAATGTATTAAAACAGGCAGAGGCTGCTGTAAAATAAATACAGTAAGTGAAGACGGAGGAGGATCAATGATCAGAGCTCACTTCATACCAAACCTACAAAGGAGGGGGCATTTCAATGATGATGATCTATGATGTTACGATTAAAATTACATGGCCACATGTGATACTAAAATACAAAGTAAAAATTGTATATGTACATTGTCTCTAAACGTTAACATGACAGTAAAACACACATTGTATTTACTTCTAGGTCAATTCTATTTTTTTGAAGCCTCCATGAACACATCCAGCTGCCTCATGAAACTACAACTTTCCCCCTTGGTGTGTAAATGACAACATGTGTGTTGATGATTAATGTATGAATATACCGTGCATGTCGTTCTGCCTATGCACTGAATCTAAATTATTTCACAAATTTAAGCTAGTAATTAACCTGCGTTCTTTTTCAGCCCATATGTCAGACATTTAGCAAATTATAAAAATTTCAATATATTTTAAAATACACTTTTAACATCTTCATCTTTAATTTTGAAATTCATGTAGAAAGAAGGACTGACCTGGACATATTCATCCTCTACTTCTGTCTGCTTCATGCTGCTGAAAAGACAAAAAAGTAGATGAAAAGTTAATAAAGTTGAAAACAGAGCAGAGTATGTGTATCATCCCACGTACAAATACATTCTTGTCTCCTAACAGGTGCAGAATATCTCTCCACGAATAAAAAACAGACCTGAATTCCCACGACCCAACTCTGCCGGAGCCCCCTGCCTGGCTAAAATATTATTGCTGTTCAGCTCCATGGAAAATGGACAGAGAAAAATCCCTGTGTGCATCTTTGGTGGCTGAATCTGGAGCTGGCCTCTTCAAATCCCTGGGGCACCATAATTTAACACTTTTACACTCAGATCATGTAACAACAGGCCTGCTGTGCTACAGTGTGTGTGTGTGTGTCTGTGGTAGGGGTGACTGTAGTGTGGGAACCGCTGTGGTCCAGAGCGAGGACCAGTCAAAGGAGGGTAATTACAGTCCCAGACAATCCCAGTTTTACCATCAATCAGCACAGTTCACAGTTGTATTATGGGTCTCCTAAGAGCCAGAGTGAAGCCGTGTTACACATGACCACATGTTGGCCGCATCAAAGACTCCCATCACCACACTGAGCCGGGGAATGTTAATAGGCCCCACAGCAGAGGACTGCTCCTGTGCTGGATCTCAGTGGGAAACCGGCCGAGTGTTTAATGTCTTTGTTAACTTCACTGTATTTTTGATCTATTTTTAGTTATTTACTTTCCAAATGAGTTTACAAGTTTAAAACAAGTATGATACATTGCTTAATTCAGATGCTTTACTCAGTCCCCTAGGCCTGAGTAGGAACTTAACAATTGAAGACCATTCAAACACCTTAGAGTAGTGTTGCCAAACCGGTAGGAACTTAACAATTGAAGACCATTTAAACACCTTAGAGTAGTGTTGCCAAACCTGCCAAAGATTCCCATAAATATAAAAATGTTAATGTAACCAAAACAGATAGGACGTAAATAATAAATTGGAACAAAAGTAGCCAAGGTGAACACCCAGAATTAGCTTACTTAAGTCACCAATAAATAAATAAATAATGTACTTCAAATCTATTAGAAACAACGAGGCTGGAGAACAAACACCCTGTAACTAGAGGTAGAATCAGGAACATCTTACCAGTGGTTCTATAAGATATTTACCTGAGGAGCTTTTCCAAAAATGTCGGTAAACTCGGGCAAAAATGTGGGCAAATCTGAGAAAGAGAAGGTTCCTTGCTCCTTGCTATGCTCATACTGAGTGTCCACTTCTCCCCCCTCCTACCTTAAGTCCCACACTGCTGTATTTCCCACAGTCCCAGTGATGACCTAATGGTCTGATGCTGTGCAGTCACACATGAGAGCGCAGCTACAGCTACAGCTACAGCCCATATCCAGGCCTTCTACACACAAACACAAATATCAGCTGTAACACGATATACACACTCTGCTATCAAGTGTGGAATATAATGAAGTGAGACAGACCTTCGGAATGTCATGGGAAAACATGGAAGAACTGCAGTCTGGACACAGGGCGTCGGGGTGTGTGTGTGTGTGGGGGGAGGGTTGTTGGTGCTTCTATTTCAACTGTTTCAGAAACTTTACACTGATGGTATGTGTTTTAGATGATTTATAAAGGGCTATCATTGATGTGATATCAGCTGTATAAACAAGGCATTGGCTGTGAATAAGTTGACATGAAGATTTAAGTGAGTAAAAGTATGCTGAGCACCCTCCAACTTTACCACTCAGGTCCACAAAGTAGACCCATGACCCCTGGTTGTAGTAAGGTGAAATGCAAGTCAACCTTTCAAATGGCTCAAACCTATCTTGAAAGGATATAGAGTGTAATAATAATTGCAAAGTTAACAAAAAAAATAGATAAACAATTTTCTAAAGCACAAAAAAAAAATAGATAAACAATTTTCTAAAGAAGTTACCTAAAAGAGCTTAAAGCTAACCAACATCATAACTGCTAAAAAATAAGTTGGTTAATGTAAAGTTAATGCAAAGCTTTTTACACTGCAAGGTTGAATTTTCTTATCACCAGAATCTGCAGTATTACCTAAATGTAGTATGCAACATTGACCTGTTGACAATGTACAAATCAATCACTATTGAACTTTTGTTTACGCAACAACATTAATAACTACTACTCCTGAATTAATTTTTTACGGAATTTCTATCAATTCTAGAAGCCATACTTAGAAACTATGTAGACATAACTTCATCTAACAAAATTAACAAAGAACACGTCCCCACCGTTTTAAAATGACTGTTGGGCGGCTGGTAGATGTTGATAGATTAAATTAAGGACTAATTGGGATTAAATGTTATCAAATAAAAAAAAAACATTGTACAACAATTCAAACAAAAATGTCCAAAGACAAGCTGTTTGAGCTTTGTGGAACGTTGTGACGTCATTCGACCGTTACGGCAATTAAGGGCATTTAAACATAGCGTTCAGCGTTAACTAGCAGCAGGGGCAAAGCCAAAAGTGTATTTCTAGAATGTAAATGTATTGATTTTTTGTTGGTTATCTTACATTTATACAATGCTTTTGAAAGCAAGAGGTCATTGTTGAGTTTTGCGGCTTTTTTTGCCAACTGATATATGTTTGTGAACTTTGGAAAATTGGAAATCCTGGAACTATCTTCTTGGCCTCATGAAAATTGGAATCCTGGAACTATCTTCTTGGCCTCATCACCTTACAAAAAACAGTAACCCTCCACTGTATTTATACTACTGCAATACTTTACGTAAAATAAATGAATTATTGACATGTCAAGTGACTTATTGGTCAAAATGCGATTTTCTGAATTTACTTATCTGGTTATTTTGGAAAATAATATAGGAATGTTGTTTAAACTATTTGTGCATCGCGTGGTAATAGCAATAAGACGCAGATTCAGTGATGAAGGCATATTTGCAGGCATATTTGAAGCATAGTAGTGTTTTAGGGCAGGCATATTTGAAGCATAGTAGTGTTAAATATGCTGCTAATTCTCACTAAAAGCCCTTAAACACACTATAGTTGATTTTTTTTTTAATGGTAAAATCCTGTTTCCTTCGCCTGAACCCGCTATGTAAATGTGTCCGAGAGATATATTATGATTATACACCTGTTAGGAACCATGTTTTAACAAACGAAAAATCTGATCACCTTTTGATGCTAGGACTTCGGGCTTCTTCATTTTCTGCCTCTTCTGTCTCCTCTGTTTTTGACAGCTTTTCCTCATGCTTGGTCTGATTACCTGGGTCCTGGCTGAGTGGAGTTGGTGATTTCTCTTCAGGCATCAGGTCTGCACGCTCCTGGGAGGATCCCTTCAGGTTTGATGGCTTTCGCTCAAGTGTACCATCTGAGCCACCAGATGGCGACACATCTTCACAGACGTCTAATGCTGCGGAATCTACTTTTTCTGTGTTTGTGGCACTTATTGCCCTTGAAGATACACGAATTGGAGTTGTGGAGTCACATGGATTGAGTTCATTGTCTGTTTTAACTGATGTTTCACCTTCAGTCACTGTGTTTTTCAAATGAACTCGGTCCTTTTCCCCTCCTGTTCTCTGGCTCTGACTCCTGCTGATGCTCTTGTCTTTGGTCTTCTTGCTGCTGGAGGCTTCTGAGCATAGAGGAAACAACCATAACAAACCCAAAAATTGAACAAAACTTCAGTCAGTCGTCACACCTCCTGCTGTCCTACCTTTTTTGGCCTTGTCCTTCTTCTTCCTCAGCAGCCTTGGCAGCGTGCCCATATGTGTGTAGTTCTCACTGGAGCGGACGTAGCTGGTTGTGCAGGGACGTGTGGCTTCCAGGTCGTCCATGGTTATTTCAGCTGGATCCAAGACAGAAGAAGAGAAGCCAGCAGCAGCGTCGCTGTCTTCTCCAGGTACACAGCCAGACTTCAGCGGAGAATCTCTTGAATCAGACTTCTCACTGGAGCGGCGGAAGGACAGGTTGGCCAGGCTGCCGAACCACTTCCAACCTCCAAAAAGAAGAAAACAAAGGTGAAATTATATTTCTAAACAAATATTAAGTGTGCTTGCATGTCTTAGCTTTTATTAGCTACAAAAAATATTATTTCTGTAAAGGTAAAGGCAGCTTCTAATATTCTGACAACTGGTGTCCTTTGGATTCTGAACGAATCAACTCTGATCTGGTGTTTATATGAAGTTTTCATCAACTTCAGGATACATTTTTTGTTACCTTTTTTTACGTAACTGCTTGATACTAAGGAAATAGATGTGTTAGGCCAAATAGGTCCACACAAAATTAGAACAGAAGACCCGCAGAGTTGGAGAGTTAAAAAAAAACAAAAAAAACCAAACATAGGTTAAAGCTTGTCATAACAAGGAAATCAATTATCAATCAATATCAATATCTCATGATGCTTCACTGCTACACTTTATTTTTATGCACTGAAGATTGAGATCACAGTCACACCTGTTAGCTTTTTTAGCAGAAGATGGCTTTTGCTGTGAGATACAAATCAGCGAAAAGGTTTGGATTTGAATTAGAGATCACCAGAGTTATTTCATTTACCATTTACTGTCGCCTCCGTTAACGTATGACTTGTTACCTCTAAACAGAGTACTACACAAAGTCAAAGATTCTACGTTAGTTTGTTGTTCATTTTTCAAACTGAAGGATCAAAATTTTAACCAAGCTTGAATTGAAAAATATTAAAATCAATAAAGCTTTGCAACAGGTTTTTTATTGATAGTTATATCGTTTTTTCTCTTTCTAGAAACGATGATGGATTTCAGTCCTGAGTCGAGGCAGAGAAGACAATCTCCAGAGTTCTGCCAAGAAGAAATTCTCTGATGGAAACACTGCAAAGGCGATTGAAGCGAATACATTTTCTTTGTTTCAGATATAAAGGTTTCCTTTGGTTGGCTGAATATTTAATATTTCTTTTTGTAGTAGTTTTCTTTGTATATAACCAGATCCCCTGTGCCGAGGATCTGTATGTTTGTTTAAACTGAAACTGAAACAATTTTGTGTGTCATCAGAGATAAGAAACTCTTTACAGTCACTGTTTGTTTTTATATTGTTTTTTTCAACTGCACTGTCAACGTCCAGTCACAGCATGAACACCTGGGTGTTAGCGTTCACATAGACACACTCTGTACTCACTCAGCTTCCGTATGCTCATCCTGTTGTGGGCTTCAGTGTTTCTCAGCAGCAGGTGAATGATGGAAGAACTGAGGATGCTGCAACAAAACGGAAGAGACAAAGGTTGAGATCGAGGCACCGGTCCTCTGAGAGAGAATTTCAGTGTGAAGCAATTCTTTCCAAGTGTGCATTTGCCAGGAAGAGGAAACAAAAACATGAGAGATATGCTGCAGTGACAACGTCAGTTAGACACTTCCTGTGTTAGAGATGAGACGACCAATGGAGGGAGGAAATGAAGTTAAAGTTAAACAGGGCGAGATAGAACATGCATACATGTACAAGTGTTGATGGAGGGACGGAGTGTGAAGTGGTCAGGTTTAGCCCAAACTGGCCAAAAGTGGGCCAAAGCAGTGATAAAAGGCAAATAAGTAATAAAATGTTAGCCATAACACAGCAAAAAGCTATATTTGGCTTAAGCTATATTTGAGCTAAACCTAAAATAATCCTAAATATAAATCAAATATATTAGACCTGAAGCTAAAAGACAGCATAGTTAAATAGCTTAACTTGAATTTAGGCTACAAATTAGTCAAGAGTTAGCCACATTAATTAATACAAAAGGCTATTGTAGAAAAATGATTGTTGAAAGCTAGACTAAAATAGCCTAAAGCTAGCCACAAAAAAACGTTGCAAGATACAGTATGTTAATCTAGAAATAGCTATTTTTTTCACTCTAATATAACAACAAAGGTAATGTTTTTTTCTTTTTTTAGTCAAAGTGACAGAAATCTGCTAAAAGAGATCAATATGAGTGTTGATACATCTAATTAATTTGATCTTTTTGACACACTTGGATCAGAAGTTGTTATTTACAATAAAAAAACCCAATGTGCAATAAAGTTCAATCTAATCTAGTCTAATGTATCATAAATGCCCTCATGATCTAAAAAATATGAAATAAGATCCTGTTGAATCACCACAATGACACAATGGCAATGGCAATGTTTTTTAACATAACCATTAAAATACACAATATATTGTAGATGTGCATGTTGATGACATTTAAAAAAAAAAAAAAAAGCAAAGACAGCTGTGAAGATACACATGGGTTAACCCTGGTGTAGGGTACATAGGTGGGGTTGTGAGTCTGCATGGGTTTTCACTTCCTGTAACATTTGGGTGTTGCTTCTGCAAAGCTGCTTTTGACTTCCTGTCAAAATGTAAAAAAATGTAAAGAACTGATGCAGATTCAAATTCAGTAATATGTTTTTTTATTTTTTGTCTTCATGGCACTGCGAGAATAATATATATATATACACATATACACATATATTTATACATATATGCATACATACATATATAATTCTCGCAGTGTCATATATATATATATATATATATATATATATATATATAAATATAAATATATATATATAAATGAGTGAGTAAGAAATACCTACACACACACACAGCCCAGGTTGGGACACAAAGGTAAATGAAGGCTCAGTCCTTTACTTTACCTCAGGCCTCAGCCTTTACCACAGCCCTCATTTCATCATGATGAAAAACAAGCGTTCTATATTACAGCCTCAGCCTCTCCTCTGATGATAACAAATACTGGCCCCATTGACCCAAGGCCATGCAGATATACATGTACATCAAAACCCAAACCACATCAGTGTCCCAGAATGAGTCAACCACTATTTGTTCCCATTTTCTCACCAGGGTGTATCATTATTTCTCTGTGCCTTAGCCTCTGCTGCAGTGCTGTCAAAGTTATATCTCCCGTCATTTTGTTTTTGTTCATGGCAAAATATTTTCTCATTACTTTCAGCCGAGCTTGATGTGATTTAAACTGCATTTGCAAAACAGCACTTCAGTTCACACGGCATTCTGAAAGCGCTACCTTCACACGCCTCTACGACTAATAAATGTATTTATGAAGAGACTCAAATGTTGACTCTGCTGCAGGTGAGTGAGTGCACCGCAGTGAGGGACACGTACTGCAGCATTTGCACCGAAACTGCGTTTCTCATATTTTCGAGTTTAATAAACTCTATCTGAGCGCAAAGCACAATTCATCAGATGGCAAAATGTACAGTAGAATAGAAAACGATGATATTGTGAAAAAATAAGAAATTGTTGTTCAATTAATGGAGAGAACTCAAGATACAAGGTCAAACTGTTACAACTGATGGCTTAGTGGTTAAGGAAGTGAACTTAGGTCCTGAGAGTTTCAGGTTTGAGTCGGTGATGGTGATGGGTTAAAAGCAGAGGGCACATTTGGTTGTGTGCAGTGGCGTGCTGTGTCAAGCATACACAGTGACTGCTGTTAGCAAGTCAAGATCTTGATAACTGTGGAACGTTAGTTAGTAAACAAGTTTCCTTGGCCATGACAAAACTATGTTATAATAACATTTTTAATAAGTTACTGTTTATTTGTAGTGGAGAATGTATTAATTTAAAAGTGTAGTTAGTGTTAAATATATCTAGGACAGAGGGCCGTACATTTTTAGGTACTTGTTTGACCAGCTAGTCAATATAGATATTGTGAAGAGTAGATTTTTAGGTACTTGTTTGACCAGTTAGTCAATATAGATATTGTGAAGAGTAGGTGAGCTGATAAACAATGGAAAGCAACTGTTCGCTGACATATCAATACAGGGCTAAAACCAAGAGTTTCATTTCAAAGGTGCTGCAATCAAACTGAAAAGTACTGTCGCATTGAGGAAGCCAAGATCGGTGGAGAAGTACATGAGGGTGGGACTGTGCATTATGATGCAGCACACAAGTTGTCAGGTCTTCTTTTTATGAAGCATACATGGTTTTCTATTTTCCACCCCCTCTCCGCAACCCATGAAGGATAAGGTAATGGAAGATGATTGAGGCAGTGGTGATGTGTGCAGTCAGAGGGACAGATGGGTTCAAAGCGTAGCTGGTATTTTAACTAATGAAGTATAGCAGTTCCCCGAGATACGAACAACCACTGACTGATGTCCATAAATATTCGTAAAATGTCATATGCGTTCACAAGATTTGAACAGGACATCTGACTAGTTCCCCTTTCTGCCACAACCCACGCCGAGCAGCAGCGCTTCAAATGTGCATCGCCCTCATCACACCCAGTTCGTTCTTCCATGTGTCTCTGTGAACATCTCAGCGCGTCAGGCTTCGTACACCCTTGGATATCGTTTCCGTACAAGTTAACCTGATCACAACTCTACATTTCACCAACAATAACTCCTCCCTCCTCCTCCTCTCCTCCTCCACCATCTACATATGCAAATCGACTAATAATCACACTGTAATCATATTGATGTGTTGTTTTTATACCTGTAATTGGTTCTGGTCAGTCTTAGGGAATACTACTTTCTTATTTATTTAGAGTATGACATTTAAATGACCTCAAACGGCAACTATATCACGACTTACGAACAATTCAGCTTACGAACAGCCTCTTGGAACCTACTGTGTTTGTGAGTTGGGCACCGTCTGTAGCTTCATTATTGCCAGGAGGTCAGGTTTTCCACCAACCACTAGGCCTCAATCTTTCTACCCTAACAGCACACAAGTTCATTTGATTCACTGCACTTTTGTTCTGGAGAATTTTGCCATCATGCTCCATGGTTCAGCTTAGCATGAACTTTGTAATTTAGCAGTAACCATTGGAGCTTTTAGCACAACATGTTATGGTAGTGCTATTTGTTGGCAAGTCAATCGTGACAACAGAGATTTTTATGTAAAAAAAAGAAAAAAGGGGAAGAAAATGGTCCAATCTCCTCAATGCATCATCATATTCTATTCTAAGTTCTATGTTCCACTGACGTAGAACCTCGTTTTCCATCTTGCCCCACTTTTCTGCCTTTCATGTAGCTGTCGTCCATTATTGTACTCCGTCCACAAGAAAAGAAATGCAGCCGAACAAAAACAATAACGGTAAAACGAAGAGAAATTGGTGGAAGGAAAGGTCGGGATGACAGGGTGTAATCGTGCTGTCGTCAGGTTTCGTTGCTTTGTATTGATGTGGCCTCTATTTGACACAGCATATGGGAGGCCCAGAGCTGAATTATTGAAGACTTGTTTGTCATCAAGGTAAAATTAAAGCATCAGCACGTATACAAGCTCACCCATTCATCCTCACACACACACACACACACACACACACACCAGCGTTTACTGTTGCTGTGAGGACCTCAACTTGGCGTTATTGTTACTGGAGGCTAGAAAAGCTAACCTGACAAAAGTCATCTGTTATGAGCATGACTGAACCATTAGCCATAGCATTTTTCACTAACCACAGGAGAGAAACACAGGTTAGCAGTTACAGCAGGACAGAAGTAGCTAAAGGGCAGACTCAGAAAGGCATTGACGAAAAATGAATAGATTAACCTCAACTATTTATTTAATGAGATTTTAACTGACGTGGAAAAACAAATGTAAAAAACTAAAAAAAGGATACATTTTTGTAAAAAAAATGTAAAAAAAAATAAATAAATAAAAAGGATACATTTTTGTTATAGATGTTAAAAAGTTTAGCAAATAATATGTTTAGCTATAGTTTTAAGCCAAAAGTTAGCACAACATAAAAAATGACAAAAGATTAAAATAAATATATATCAATCAAAGCCACAGGTACAGTTGAATAGCAGAAGTAGTAGCTGAAGTGAAGACCAATAAATTCTCCGAAAAACGAAACGTAATTCATTTAAATAGAGCAGATTTTAAACAGTATATTTTAAACCTGTCGTTTTCTATTTTGACTCCAGGGGACGCCAAAGACAATTGAATCTCCTATTTAGAGGACGTGGGCTACAAAGACCAAACTACAGAAACTAGTGTGAACAGAAATAATTGTGCTTATTATATATAAGGTACGTAATATAATTATAATATATCTAAACGTATATAGGAGAGAGTACACTGAAAATCACTAACTGTGCCTTTAATTAAAAAAAAGAAAAACTGCAATCAGCCTATTTCCACTAATTCCAACAGTAATATTGTCATTACGTTTCACTCATCACAGGACAGGACAAGTACATACGAGTTCACGTTAGCAGTAAATACGGGCAGTGACTGATCTGTGGATGTGGAGCAGCAGATGTGTGAGGACCAGTCAATGACTGGCATGTGTCTTTACAGGCCGTGACACTGAAGGTGTCTCTGTGATGCTCACATGCTCACCGAGTGAGTTGGCACTGAATTACTTTGTTAAAAACACACACACACACAGAGAGACAGACTTGCCAACTTTCATATGTGGCAGCTGGTGGCTCTCTGCTTTTTATAGAGAAAATACTGAACTGTGAAAGGTTTCACATCAGAATAAATCACAAAGAGACATTAAAAAAGCAAGACAAAAAAAAAAACGTAAAAATTAAAATGTCATTTGTTTAACAATGTCATGTGAAGAATTACAGTAAGCCAAAGCCTAACAGTTATCCACAGTCATCCATTAAATCCAAATGGGTTTAATTATTAAACCCGGCACTCAGTTAACAAGATCAGAATCATCAGTACAGAAAGATCTGTTAAGTCCTGAGACAGGATCAGGACCAGGATCAGGACCAGGATCAGGCAGGACAGTTCTCAGTTGCAGGGAGTTTATTCATTATTGTCATAATCAAAAACATTCACTGGAAACCAGGGCAT